TTTTTTTTTTTTTTTTTTGTGGTACCAGGGATTGAACTCAGGACCTTGAGCTTGCCAGGCAGGCATTTATACCACTGAGCTATCTTCCTGTCCCTATAATACATTTTCAAAGCAATCAGAATGGTGCTTTTTTTTCTTGTTTATTTTCTTTCCTGAGGCACTGGCGCATTAATGTAGGGCCTTTGCACTGAGCTGTATCTCCACCAGCTCTTTTTAAAATTTTATATTTTGAGACAGAATCCCACCCAGTTGTTTCGGTTGGGCTCAAACTTGCTCAAACTCCTTCAGCTCCAATAGTTCTGGGATCACAGAGGTGCTCCATCATGCCTGGCTAAATTTGTTTTCTTAAAATGGAAATCTGTTACTGTCACTGTTGTGCAGTAAGTGTCCATCGGCAGCTGCACTGAGAGCAAATTCCAAGCTCACAACTTTGGCCTGTAGTTCCCTTCAGTCTGGCCTGCTTAGTCTCTAGTTAGAGTTCACCCAAACTTGAGGCTTCATTAAGTTGCCCTTTTGTCAGATAAAGAGCCAGGAACTTTTACCTAACATCATCATCAAATTAGTTCCGAGTATTTTCTAAGTGCTGTGTAACTTTCGCCCCTAATCTCCATGGAAACGCGGTCTCATCACCTACTGTCCTTCCTCCACCTGTGCGAAGCCTGCACTCATTTTCGTGGACAGCGCATTGTGCCTTCTACCTATGAAAGCCTCACGTTAATAATCTTCAATTTTGGAGTCAACGCCTCATCACTTATCCTTAGATATTTTCAGCAACATGTGTATGTTTCCAATCTCCTTCCTTTTACAATGAGGTGCTCTTTACTATTTTATGTGATCAGAAAAACTATTTTTGTAAAGATTGAAGAAAAATACCATGTTTATCTTTCATCTAGATGCATCTAATTCTGTGTTCTTTCACCCCTCTGCAATTTCCATTTCATACATGCACACAAAGGAATAAGAGGTCTCTGTGGCTACTACGTCCTCACCGCTGCTGAGCGCGTGAATCCGACGATGCCGTGCTTGGAGGCACAGTAGACCGGCTGCTGGGCAACTGGCATCAGCCCTGGGACAGACAAACATACACTGTAAACAGTTCGGCTTTAAGAAGTGAGGAGACTCTGCTCAATTCTGAATGGGGAAACAAACACTTTACAGTCATTTCAATTTATGATCTACCTGGGAAATACACAAAAATAAAGTCAGTCAACTTTGCAACACTTGGTAGTCTCAGCCTGGCTTTCATTCCATGACCTATGTGGTCCAGAATTTATGGTATGTTAGTGCTATTTAGGGACAGCCAAGAGTGCTGAGTAAGTAGTTCAGCTGCCTCAGTGTTCTGGAAATTCAAGAGAAATAAATGTTACGTAAAATAGAAAGACAGCCATCTTTAAAGCCAATTGATTACCATCTGTTTTTCATTAATAAGTTTGGATTTTGAAAAGTATGTTGCTCACGTGTTTAAAGGTTTCCAAATGGCTGAAGGAATTTGAACAACTTAAGAGGGACTTGACAATTATTAGTTTTTGTATGAATTACTATGTCATGCCTTGTCACCAATCTGTCCAATATGATGCCTCTCTGAGTTTAAGAAAATGAAAAATTAACTTTTGAGATTTAGATGTCTGGTAGACTCCTGGCCTTTTTGCTTTATGCTTTAGGGAAAGAAGATAGAAATACAAAATTATGATCCTCTTTTATTGGCTTTCACAATCATATCTGCAACGACAGAATTTAACCAATTCTACAATTTTTAAACTTCTAATTTCCCATATATATTTATCACAGTAACCGATTAAACTCATAGCCTGGAGAAAATAAATCAGTATTATACCTTATACGATATCTTTTCTCCCCTAACCCCTGGTCTAGCCCTACCCTCCAATGGGGGGGGGGACCAGTAAGAAAAACTTACTTTCCTATGTCACTGTTACTATCACATT